ATTTTTTTAAAAATAAAAAGGTATACATAATTGGCCAACAGTATGGAGATACACATAGTTTTTTTAATGTGGTTTATTCAACTTCATCTGAATAAAGTTTTTATTAGAGTAAAGTACTTCTTGTATATAAAAAAAAAATCACCAGAGCTGTGCCTATATGTCATCTATGGAAGATAAGCATTATTAAGTTAGATTTAGTTTTACTGGATTTTAATAGTAACTCTAGTTTACTTCATGGTTCTTTTTACTTAGTGTAGTTAATGTTCAATCATGACTTAATATTTTACATCAATTTTATTGAAATTTATTTTGGTATAAGTTTTGTTTGTTGATTAATTTTGGTTAATTTTAGCCCCAGTTATTTGCAGGGATTGCCAAATACCTCTGGCATATAGGAACCATTAATAAATCATAAAAACCAGGGAGTATCTTAACCCATTAAGGGTGGGGGTCATCCCTCCATTGTCCCAAGAAAATTTGTGACTTAATTTTAAATGATATGTAAGTTATGCGATTTAAGCGTAAGTAAAATACAGACACTGTTTTTCTGTGCAGTTTAATGATAACAATGCTTGGAAGGTGACCCAATCATACAGTATTGTCTATGAAGTGTTGAATTATGTAAAGCTCGTAGAATATTCATTTAAGTGACGACTATCTCAGTAGTGTGTTGGCTACTGAGAGCATACTTGCTGATAACATACTTGTTGCCTGATGGTGGAATATCTTAATTGAAAAAGTCCTCAGAGAATCATGTCAATTTGGGCTTCCTTTATGTTGTATCAGTATTTGTTGTAGATTCAGATGCTGTACTATCTTTTGACTGTTGTTGAATTATATTGCAAATATTAATATGTGTACAAAAAACATATTTTTGTTTAATGAAAAATTCATTTAAAATTCCCAGATATCAATTCCCCTTTTTGTTTTTGGGCACCATGGCAACATCATGCCAGAGATTTAGCAAGCACTGCTTATTCATAATCTCTCTCTCTCTCTCTCTCTATATATATATATATATTTATTTCACTTTATTTGTTTAGTGTGTCTTGCTTCTAACCTGTGCAAAGAGATATTCTATAAAACATAACATCATCTTTATAGATGTATTTTACCTTTTTATGGAAATCTTACTTATGTATAGGTTTTTCTTTAATGTCAGTTTTTCACTGAAGAGGTTATTGGGGACTAAAATAAATATTCAGAATAATTATTCTAAACACAAACAGTGTTGAAGAATGCAACACTGTTTAATTTGTTGACACAACTTGTTCAATAATTTACTCATGTTTTATTTACTCTTTATTTGATTGAATAACAGTAAGTTCTTGAATGTGGGGTAGTTGTATTGCTTTATCTTTATTGCATGCATTCAACTTTAGTCTGACCAATAGTTAATTATGTCAGCTGATTAACACTGCACAAAACAATTAAAGAATAATATAAACTTGTAATATTTGGTATTTCCAACATTAATGGCACCTTATGTGACACATTGGCTACACAAGAGAGACCCTAAGGTTCAGTCATAGCTGTCCATAATTTAGAACTGCTAATCAAAGGGAAGGCAACCAGTTATCAGCAACTGATTGTTATACTGCTACTCTTAAATGAATACTCAGATTGACCATTACTTTTATAAAATGCCACTAGTTGAAATTGTGCGGTGTGTTCAATTCCATATTGCAGGCTTGAACCTAGGACCTTCAGATCTACAGCCCAGCCTGCTTACCAATAGGTTACATTCACTCACTTGTAATATCATAGCTATATGACAAGGCAAGACCATTGTTATAGTCTGTAAAGCAGGAGGCAGTTGAGGTTCTTTTACTTATGTGTTCAATGTTTAGCTATTGGATAAACTGTTTTTACATTTATACACAGAATTAATCTTCTTGGCTAATTACAAACTAGTTTTAGTCTATTTTATAGAATTCCATCATATTAACAGTATATGCATTTCTATGTGTACAGTTTTTATTTTGTAAAACCCAAGTAAGTGCAGTTCAAGTAAATCCAATCTAATCTAATCTAGGCCACGTATTTTGTTTTGTCCACCATCATGCCCCAAGCTGAACAAAAAAATGTGGCATAGCTAACTTGTGAATAAATATTTGCTGTAAAATTCTTATCAGTGCTATAAGTGTAGCTACCAGTTTGACCCTCAATTTTGATTTCATTCCCTTAAGTCGCATGCAGAATCCTTTTATGGCCGCACCTTTTTTTTTCACACCTAAGGTGTTTGTGATTAGATATCGTGACTTTTTGTCAATACACACCAAATACGAAAGTGACACTCAATAGTAACCAACATTAGCTTTAGGATAGCAACCTTATTATTCGGAATAGACCTTTCAGAACCAACCAGATTCTTGGAAATATACGGTGATAGTTTTCCTCTCTAGAACAATGTTAATAACTTCCTTTATACTAACATCATAGAATTTAGATTAACAGTTTCTTGTCATCACCCCTTGCAATTGGTACAACCATATCAAGCATCATTATTTATGTTAATTGCTTAAGCTAATATCATGTGATGCTAAACACTCTTTAATTAGTATAATTTCATAAAATTTAGGAAATTTGTGCTGAAAAGTTGGCTATGAATAATCAATATAACCATCCACCTGTATGATTCTTATGAAAACTTGAGCTAAAAACTGCTAATCTAATTTCCTTGGCCTAACCAATACTTGTGTATCTGCCTGTCCTTTCACCTTATAGTTTTGCTGCTCTAAATCGGCCACCTTTAATACGATTGACAAAATACTAAAAACAGTCCACTTTTACTCTTAGATGAAGCTATAGTAAAAATGTTAGACCGATAGCTCACATGACTTTTTGTATAGGCATGTGCAAAATTGTTTGTTATATTTGAGTGGTTATTATTGAATAATTGTGCAGACGTGGCTTGTACTTACACCAAATGAGACTCCTAACTGTAGGTTGTAAAGATCTATCAGTGTACCAAATTTGAAAAAAATCCATAAAAGTTAAGTATGTTTTTTATCAAATAAAGTTTCAGTACTTTTGGTGCAAAGGAAAAAAGAAATAAGAAACTCAATCAAAATTGGAGATGTTATATTTCAGTTATTTCTTAATGGATTACCTTGAAATTTGGAATGTGAAGTAAGAGTCCAATACAGAATACTGAAAATATGTGATAGTTTGTATTACCACAGTCCTAGCTACATTACCACAGTCCTAGCTGCATTACCACAGTCCTAGCTACTGCATTACCACAGTCCTAGCTACTGCATTACCACAGTCCTAGCTACTGCATTACCACAGTCCTAGCTGCATTACCACAGTCCTAGCTACTGCATTACCACAGTCCTAGCTACTGCATTACCACAGTCCTAGCTACTACATTACCACAGTCCTAGCTGCATTACCACAGTACCTAGCTACTACATTACCACAGTCCTAGCTACTACATTAGCTAC